GTGTTAGCTACTGTATTACCAAAATAACCCCCCACCCCACAACTTGGCTGTAGAGTAATTTATATGCCTCCAAATGTACTTGCATTAACTAGACAGGTCAATAGTTCTTTTTTTTTTAATTGATTTTTATTGAGCTCTACACTTTGTTCGGCTCCCCTCCCTGCCTCTCCCTTCCTTTTCAACCCTCTCCCAAGGTCCGCATGCTCCCAATACTCAGGAGATCTTGTCTTTTTCTACTTCCCATATAGATTAGATCCATGTATGTCTTCTTAAGGTCCTCATTGTTGTCTAGGTTCTCTGGAATTGTGATTTGTAGGCTGTTTTTCTTTGCTTTATGTTTAAAAACCACTTATGAGTGAGTAAATATAATAATTGTTTTTCTGGGTCTGGGTTACCTCACTCAAAATGATGTTTTCTAGCTCCATCCATTTGCCTGCAAATTTTAAGATGTTGTTTTTTTTCTCCATTGTATAAATGCACCACATTTTCTTTATCCATTCTTCAGTCAAGGGGCATTTAGGTTGTTTCCAGATTCTGGTTATGACAAATAATGCTGTTATGAACATAATTGAGCACATGTCCTTTTGGCACGGTTGAGCAAAAGAGGTATTGCTGGGTCTTGAGGAAGGTTGTTTCCTAATTTTCTGAGAAATCGCAACATTGATATCCAAAGGGGCTGTACCAGCTTGCATTCCCACCAGCAATGCAGAAGTGTTCCCTTTTCCTCACAACCTCTCCAGCATAAGTTGTCTTCAGTGTTGTTGATCTTGGCCAATCTTACAGGTGTAAGATGGAATCTCAGAGTCATTTTGATTTGCATTTCTCTGATGACTAAGGATGTGAAGCATTCCTTAAGTGTCTTTCAGCCATTTTAGATTCCTCTTTTGAGAGTTTTCTGTTTAGGTCTGTGCTCCATTTTTTATTGGATTGTTTGATTTCTTGTGTTCTTTGTATATTTTGGAGATCATTCCTCTGTCTGATGTGGGGTTGGTGAAGATCTTTCCTTTCTGTAGGCTGTCGTTTGGTCTTGTTGACCGTGTCCTTTGCTTTACAGAAGCTTTTCAGTTTCAGGAGGTCCCATTTATTAAATTGTTTCTCTTAGTGTCTGCTACTGGGGTTATATTTAGGAAGTGGTCTCCTGTGCCAATGCGTTCAAGTGTACTTCCCACTCTCTTCTATAAGGTTCAGTGTGGCTGGCTTTATGTTGAGGTCTTTCATTCATTTGGACTTGAGTTTTGTGTGTGGTGATAGATATGGATCTATTTTCATTCTTCTACATGATGATATCCAGTTATGCCAGCACCACTTGTTAAATATGCTTTCTTTTTTCCATTTGATATTTTTTTGTTTCTTTGTAAAATATCAGGTGTTTGAAAGTGTGTGGATTAATATCCAGGTCTTTAATTCGGTTCCATTAGTCCTCCTGTCTGTTTATGCCAATACCAGGCTGTTTTCAGTTCTGTAGCTCTGTAGTAGTAGAGTTTGAAGGCAGGGATTGTGATGCCTCCAGAAATTCTTTTATTGTACAGGATTGTTTTGGATATCTTGGGTTTTTTGCTTTTCCATATGAAGTTGAGTACCGTTCTTTCGAGGTCTGTGAAGAATTTTGCTGGGATTTTGATGAGCATTGCATTGAATCTGTAGATTGCGTTTGGTAAGATTGCCATTTTTATAATGTTAATTCTACCTACTCAAGAGCATGGGAGATCTTTCCACTTTTTGGTGTCTTTTTCAATTTCTTTCTTCAAAGATTTAAAGTTCTTATCGTACACGTCTTCCACTTGGTTAGAGTTACTCCGAGGTATCTTAAGCTATTTGTGGCTATTGTGAAGGGTGATGTTTCTCTGATACCTTTCTTGGCCCATTTATCATCTGTGTATCGAATGGTTACTGATTTTTTTGAGTTAATCTTGTATCCTGCTATGATACTAAAAGTGTGTATGAGCTGTAGAAGTTCCTTGGTAGAAATTTTGGGGTCGCTTATGTAAACTATCATCAGCAAATAGTGAGAGTTTGACTTCTTTTTTTCTGATTTGTACCCCTTGATCTCCTTTTGTTGTCTTATTGCTTTAGCAATAAGAACTATATTGAATAGCTATGGAGAGAGTGGACAGCCTTGTCTTGTTCCTGATTTCAGTGGGATCACCGTGAGTTTTTCTCCATTTAGTTTGATGTTGGTTGTTGATTTGCTGTATATTGCCTTTATTATGTTTAGGTATGTTCCTTGTATCCCTGCTCTCTCCAAGACCTTTATCATGAAGGGATGTTGTATTTTGTTGAAAGCTTTTTCAGCATCTAATAAGATGACCATGTAGTTTTATTTTTTAGTTTGTTTATATGGTGGATTACGTTGACAGATTTTCATACGTTGAACCGTCCCTGCATCTCTGGAATGAAGCTGACTTGATCATGGTGGATGATTGTTCTAATGTGTTCTTGGATTCGATTTGCCAGTATTTTATTTAGTATCTTTGCATCAATGTTCATGAGTGAGATTGGTTTATAATTCTTTTTCATAGTAATGTCTTTATGTGGTTTGGATATCAGGGTAATTGTAGCCTCATAAAAAGAGTTTGGCAATGTTCCTTCTGTTTCTATTGTGTAAAACAATTTGAGGAGTATTGGTATTATTTCTTCTTTGAAAATCTTGTAGAATTCTGAGCTGAAACGCCTGGTCCTGGTTTTTTTTTTTTTTTTTTTTTTGCTTGGGAGGCTTTTGATGACTGTTTCTATTTCTTCAGCAGTTAGAGGTCTGTTTAATTTGCTTATCTGTTCTTGATTTAATTTTGGTAAGTGATATTTATCCAGAAAGTTTTCCATTTCCTTTAAGTTTTCCAATTATGTGGAGTACAGGTTTTTGAAATATGACCTGAAGATTCTCTGGATTTCCTCATGTCTGTTGTTATGTCCCCCTTTTCATTTCTGATTTTGTTAATTTGGATATTCTCTCTCTGCCTTTTGGTTAGTTTGGATAAAGATTTGTCTATTTTGTTGATTTTTTTTTTTTTCTCGAAGAACCAACTCTGTCTCATTGATTCTTCGTATTGTTTTCGTTGTTTCTATTTTGTTGATTTTAGCCCTCAGTTTGATTATTTCCTGCCCTCTAGTTCTTTTGGGTGCGTTTGCTTCTTTTTGTTCTAAAGTTTTCAAATGTTCAGTTAATTCACTAGTGTGGGATTTTTCCAGCTTCTTTATATAGGCATTTAGTGCTGTGGAGTTCAGTAGTTCTTAAAATAACCACCATGTTAAAGTGACATTTTCATAATTGGAGCAAGGCCTTGAGTTCTTTTACAATTAATCCATACTCCCATCTCTGCCCTAGCTAACTTTGTTTATTGATGCTCTACTTATAAAATTGTCTTTTCTGGGTGTTTCAGATAAATAGACTCAATACGGCCAAATGTAATGGCCTACAGCTGTAATTCCAGCACTTGGGAGGTGGATGCCGGAGGTTTGAGGCTAACCTGGGCTACATAGTGAGATACCCATCTCAAAAAGAAGCAATTTTGTAGTGTGTGATCTTTGTTATTTGGCCATTTCCATTTAACTTTATGAGTTTGGGTTTGTACATGTTGTAGCTTCATTCCTCTTTATTACTGAACTGTATTATTCTGTTCTGTGGATTTATAATGCTTTGTTTGTCTGTTCACCAGTAAATAGCCATTTGTTTGTTTCCACTCTTGCAGTTATGAATAATGCCTCTGTGCACATTCTGTGCAAGGCTTTGTGTGGACATATGCTTAATAGCTTCTTAATTGGTCCTTTAGTCTCCTCCAGGGGTCTTTCTTCTGTTTTATCCTGCATCAATCTGTTGTCCACACTGTAGCGAGAGTGATCTCTCTGAAGTGTAAATCTGATTATGTCATTACCCCGCTAAAATATTCAGTGCCTATTGCCCCCTGAAACTTAGTTTGCTGCGTTCAAAGTGTGTTTACTAAAAGTTTTAAAATCCACTTTTTTCTGTAGCTCCTCTTTCTCTATGCTCATTCATCCATTTACTGACAGTGGTCATTAGCTGTTTAACCACTGTGTTTCCCAGGGCTATTGAGTCTGGGGATATAGTGATGGGACATCAGAACCTTTGCTCTTCTGTCATCGTCTTCTGTAGTGGGAAAGGTAGACAGGAAGCATCAAGTGTCAGACATTGGTGAGCACAGTGAAGAAAACACAAAAGGACAGTGTAGTGACCATGGGACTAGGACTCAAATCTGTGTGCTGGAGTGGTCCCCAGAGCCTCTGGCCTGCAACCTACTTGATTTCTCCACTTAGAGGTCTAGTGGTGGCAACCCCATTTCGGATCCACACTTAATGTGGTTTCTTTGCCCTGTCACTTTCTCTTCCTGAGTTCTGTTCGCCTTCTCTCCCCGAGCCGCATCCCTACAGTCCGGCTGGCTGCACAGACCATTGTGTTTCTGTAGACTTCCATTACAGCTGCTGCCTCATGGCATTCTTAAGTGCTTTGTCTCTATCCCACTTCTCTTGTAGCAGCTTGGTGGTTATGAATCCTCTAAGTCTAGCCTATTCTTGGTGCAGAGTTTGTGCCTAATCAAAGCTGTTGAAAGCAATTGTGTGCTCTTAGTCTTAGGAGCGAGAGAGGTTGGAAGGAAAGGAAGCGAGAGAGAGAGAAAGGAAGGAGTGAGCTGAGGTCAGTTAATACATACATAAATACATACATGTGCATTTGGTCAGTATTTGCTGAATAAATACTGAAGGAGTTTTGGTGGTTGATATCTACTCCAGGATTATAACTTGGTGCGCCCCACAAATGAAGAACTGTTATTTGCAGTGGGCACTTAGTGCATGAGAAGAAATAGGGGAGCAGTGCTGCGGGTGTGACTTGGAATTTTAAAACTGGTTTTGCTTGTGCAGTTCTGCAGTTGTTTGCGTGAGTCTAATTGAGTAGGCCATTCGTTGTGCAGGATGATGCAGATGTGGGATTACTTGGATGTTATTGTATTGTCTTTCGTTTCTGTCTCATCATGCAGATGTTTCTTTTGCAGCTTTCAGAAAATGTCATCGACCGGATGAAGGAGTCCTCTCCGTCTGGCCCTAAGTCTCAGCGGTATTCCAGTATTTATGGTGCTTCAGGTATGGTGACATTTTTATTTTAGGGATTCTCATTAAAAAAAAACCCCTCAGTAGGGAAAGGTGACTACTCAGTAGGCAGCTGCCCTTTGTCTTTTGGCGTTTGGATGTTCAGCATCTTACGGTGAATGTTAGAAATCAGGGTTTCTTCTAAAGTGTTTGGCTCTGCTGTTAGTTACACTTTGTGAACTTTCATTTTGCTCATCCAACTCCTAGACCCTCTGCTAAGCTTCATCAGAATGCCATTTCACACCTTTTGTGTGAACTAGTTTGATAGTAGGAATATTAGAGATTAAGGAGTATTTAGTAAATACTTACTATTTTTTTTTTTAAAGAAAATCCTTAGGGGGAAAAGAACTCCTGAAATTAAAAAATACTTACTGCTTCTGAATTATTAAATATCTCTAATATTTTTGTTTTCTAGTAATTTTTAAGCTTCTACAAAAGATTTAATTTGTTAGTTTGTTGCTTTAAGCCTCATCATGCATAGGTCTTTTTGGATGAGAAGGAGCTAAAGAGACCAGTATTTTTCCTCTTCCCTCACCTTCCTCTAGCTCCACCTTAGTGCTCATGTAACAAATAATTACCAAGAACCTGCTGCATGGCCAGCTCCTTTCTCTTTTCTCCTCTGGAGACAGAACCCAGCTTATGTTTGGAAGGTAGGTAGGTGCTTTCCCCCTGGACTGCATCCCTAGCCCTTTCCCGCTCTGTTCTTGATACCGCCCAGATGGTGACTGGACATGCCATTGGTTGTGAAATGACAAGAAGAACAGTATGGGAGTGATTACGTTTGGACCAAGAGTTTTTGTTTATTCGAAAGGGGCTTTTTTGGCTGCAGGTTGTAATAGTGAGAAAGATGAGCCGTTGGGTACTTGCCACTGGTGGTAGTGGTGGGGCAGTTGTGACCCTCAAACTGACCATTAAGTTTGCAAATATAACTCGAGCTTCTGATACCAGGCTTAATCAGGAACAGTTTTTGTCTTTCAAAGCCTCTTGTTTAGTAGGAGTGTTGAACAGTCTATGGTTAATTAACACAGATAAAGGCAAGCATATATCTAACTTAACATAGCTCGTAAATTCCATTTATTCTTCTACAAACCTGCTGCTTCACCCCATCTTTTTCAGGATAGGGTAGATAACCAAACCCTCAACTGGAGCTGCAATTCATAACTAAAGATAAATCTCCATGTGTGATTTATTTGGGAGCTGGTTGGCAGGTCCCCCCCAAAAGCCAAAAGAGTAAAACATCACTATGACCTGCAGAGCCAGGCATGGATGACGTGATAAGCTTGACTTTCTTGAGGAATCTGTCTGTTCCTATTCCAGGTTTGACATGACAGCAGACATTGTTGATGCTCAGCTGTGGCCATCCTGGGCACTGAAGACTTAAACTATCACCCTGTGAGTTAGTGGTCAGATTAGTTCTCACTGAAGAGTAGCTGCTCCTTACCTTTGACTAGCCTGCAGGAAGCTCGGCTGTGTGGGTCTAGCCTGGGCCTCTCCAGAGCTGGGCATGTATCAGGTGCTCTAATGATGTGACTGAGGCTGTGTGGCTCTGTGTGCTGGTGGCTTGTGACACTCACTCTGTTCCTTCCACATCACGCATCCTAGGACTGTCAGTAATGAAACTCTGGGGACATTCTGTGGAGGTGTAGTATCTTACAGCAGCTTTGGACACAGCTTCGCAGCAGGTGTGGTGCTGGAGACTCTTCATATTTGGAGCAGTCAGATCACTTCTCTGGCTCCGTCATAGAAAGAAGACCTCGAAGGCTATGAAGTGGTTTCCTTCCTTTCAACCTAAGCCGAAAGGAGAGCTACTAGCATTAGTACAATATTTTGAAGTGATCTTGCCTTTATGTTAAGAAAACCGTTAGACCGGGTGGTGGTGGTCCATGCCTTTAATCCCATCACTCGGGAGGGAAGCAGAGGCAGGTGGATCTCTGTGAGTTCCAGGCCAGCCTGGTCTACAGAGCAAGTTCTAGGACAGGTTACAAAGCTACAGAGAAACCCTGCATTGAAAAACCAAAAAAGAAAACAGACCATGATTGTGTAAATTAGCAAACATTGGTTCTTAAAATTTAAAAAATATGCTGTTAGAAGTTCTAATCTCAAAATTTATGTTCTCTTCCAAGTTTCTCTCTTTGGGGTTTTAGCCAGTATACAGTAATAGAGTTCTTATGATTCATAATTCAGATGTGCTATGAAATCATTTTTCAAGTCTACAAAAGTGTATTGATGGAAACGTCACCAGCTTTTTTCTGCATTTTCAGTGTCAAGTAAATTATATATAAATGTGAGCTGAATTTTTAATATTTATTAAAATGCTTTCTTTCTTCCAGGACTTATTAATACCATCCCTAGGCTATCACTTACATGAATATAGAGCAGTGTATTTGATGGCCTGAGAACCAGAGGATTTCTCAATAAAAGAACTAAGCCTCCTCATATGTATATGTACACACACAGACATGCACACAAACACACACATACAGTTTGGAGAATATAATTTATGCTCTACAAAAGTAAGGTTTTTTTTTCTTTTTAAATTTTATTGTAACTTTTTTTTTTTTTTTTTTTTGAGAAGCCTTGAACCAGGTCAATGACTCGTTGCAATAAGTATTTGCATGTAAAGCTGTTTGGGAAAAATAATATACTTTGTGACACACAGCAGATTGCAGGGCCACTTTAATGAATGAATGTGCTCTAAAGAACTTAACCGTGTCCTTTCTGCCTCGGCTCCTTTGCTCCATTATCGCAACTATGTTGACTTGCTTTGATACCAGCTAGTTTTTTCTTAGGTGGACAGAGGGGATGGCATTGTGTGCAGCTCCATACTTGCCTTTTTTTTTTTTTAAACATCTTGCATCTTTTGATTTTAAAAATCAATGCTGGCTATTGGCCTTTACCCCCTTCATCTTGATCCTTTAGTTTTGCTGGCCTGTGGTGAGGTCAGACCGCTCATGTTCGACCCTAAGAAACTGTCTCCAGATCAATATGAGAAAATCAAACAGGAAATGGTATTAGGAGGCTGTTTATTGGTTTCCTAAGCCACTGGGAACCTGATGAAAATGATAAATCTGGGTGGGGGAGACAAATGAGCTCATTCTTATTATTATCTTCACTGTGCAAGTTTCTCTGTAAATTTCTTGTCATTGTGAAAAATAGGAAAGATTTGCCGATTTGTGTTAAGCGTATTGCTGAGATCACTAAGTATTTGGCAGCCTTAACAAATTGCAGGAAACCAATTTGAGCAGGAAATAGCACAGCCCAAACTAAGCAGCCAATTTAGGGAAACAGATTCATCTATATGTTGTATGTATTTTTCTCCCAGAATCTGGCCCTTCTGGTTATTTTTAAACAGCTCTTTAAGGCTCATCTAGACACAGCACTGTAGGAAGAGTTCAAAGTCAACAAGTCCTGCTTATTCCTTCGACCGGTGTTTTCACGTCTGAGTGAAGAAGGTGCATTGTCTTAGATCTCCTTCGGACACATGTCAAACTTTGTGGATGCCAGTATCCTAATCTTTTGCATTACTGTAATGGATAATTTGCCTGGTGTTTCCAAAGCATTAAATCTAAGTTCTAACGAGCACATCCTGCTCCTGAAAGACGATCTGTAACAGTCCATGTTTAATGAATGACGAAGAAAGCTCATGGTTAGCTTCTTCTGTGAACAGGTATCGGCATGGCAGTGATCTTGGACTCAAAGAACAGTTTGGTCAAGTCACATTTAGCAGGAAGGTGTTGTGCAGTATTTTTGAGTAAAGGAACAAATATGTAAGTGAGGTGGAGTGTGTACAGAAGTCTGGAAGGCACTTTAGGAAATGAAAGAAGCAGGCCAGAAGCTTGGCTTGCTGTGCAGGGATGTGGGCTTGAGGCAGACCTTGAGAAAGGGATCTGAGGGGTGTTAATGTGCTTATACTCCCTGTTGAGTCAGTGCATAGACCAGATCAATTCTGATAAGGTTTCCTGGGGCTTAACCAGACGTTAAAGAGTTTCATCTTATCCTCTGAGGTCCCAGCAGCTACTGAGAAGTTCCATCTAATTTTAGGATACAAGACTAGAAAATTGCATTAGTTGCTTCTTCCTTCATGTACAACCAGATGTTAATAACATTTTTATGGTTAAAAATAAAGTGCTGATTTTTTTATTGATATTTTTACATTTAACAAATCTGAGTGGTAAGAATACGTATATTCTACCATTGCACAAAATAAGACCATTTTCCTTTTAAGTGAAAAACTTTTAAGCATTTTTATTTATCCTTATTTGGCACTGTAAGGAACAAGAAAAAATAAAATGTTCTCAGCTGTGTGAGGTCGTGTGGCACTGTAGGCTCTAGCAGATGAGTTTTGAGCCCGTGAAGTGAGATGTTAAGATGGTGTGATGGTTTTAATGAAAGTGGCCCCCATAGGTTCATGTGTTTGAGTGTGGAACTTCTTGTAGGAGGAGGTGTGTCACCGGGAGTGGGCTTTGAGGTTTCAAAAGACCACACCAGGCCCAGTCTCGCTTGTTTTCACTGCCTGCAACTTGCGGATCAGATGTGAGCTCTCAGCTACTGCCCGGTGCCATGCTTGCCTGCCTGCTGCTGCCATGCTCCTGGCAATGATGGTCATGGGTTCACCCTCTGAAACTGTAAGCAAACCCCCAATTAAGAGCTTCCTTTTATCGTTCGCCTCAGTTGTGGTGTTTCTTCACAGCAGTAGAACTGTAACTGAGACAAGTGTTTCTTGGCAGCGCAGGGAAAGGATGAGTCGAAACCAGATTGGGAAGGGAAGCCATTTTATGGTAACTTGATGATAAGGTTGCATGGCCGGGCAGTGGAGATTCACGGCTCAGCCCTTATCATCTCATCCGGATCACTTTACTCGGTGTCATCTGATTCAGTACTCCTGGCCTTACATCTTCTTTTAAGAAACCAACAAAAGTTTAAAGTCTTCTTTTCAAGAAGGACTTAGGCTTTTTTGTGTAACAACCAATTCCTGGTAGAAAGTTTATGTTTTA